GTCTCGGAGTCCTCCGAGGAGCCCTCCGAATTACTTTCCTTTTCTGCTAATGTTAATCTTTTTAGTTCATCTAGGGCAGGGTAGAGGCCCGTTGAGGCCTCAATAGGACCGGAAATTTGGCTCCCTTCTTCTTGAGCTCCCGTTGTTCTCCGTTTTTGTCTAGACTTACTTCTTTCTTCGCTCTCCGTTTCTGATACACTGTCTTGATGCTCCCTGAACAATTTTTGTCCCTCCCGCACCTTATCATTGCAGCGTTTATCCTCCAAACAGGCTCTAATCATCTTCCACACTGGTAAAATCCCCGGTCTTAAGGTATTCTTATCTTTCTCTCGCTGGAGGTCTTTTCCTAATTTTTCCCAGGATGGGATCATGAGTGACCCGGTACCGCTGAACCAGGGCGCCGCTCAATCCACTTCCTTTAGAAACCTTCTTAAAATTTGCTCCGATATTTTTAACTCCCTTTCCTCCAAAAGGCTTTGTAAGGCATAGACCAGTGATTGTGAAGTTGAATTCCCCATTTCTCCCTTATCTACGAAAGTAGGCGACCGACAAAGTTAAACCTGTTGGAGTAAACAAATTAAAACACCCGCCCACACCAGACAGCGTACCTCTCAGAAAGTTGGTGGATCCTCCCCTCCTGCTGCTCAGTTCTGAATCCTCCTGAAGTCAGGGGTCTCCGCTGATGCCGGCGATGATGGTCGTCGCTTCCCGGGTTTCGGCACCACTTGTCACGCGCACCTCGCCAGCAAGGAGCACGCAACACTCAGGATTCTTCTGAAGCACGCTTTATTGGAGGCTCTTCTGCATTCTTCAAGATGGCGGAAAGACCCCGAGCCGGATGCGAGCCTGCCTTTTATAGCCTCCCGGGTGACGTAGCCCATTTCTATTGGTCAATGCCGGCCTGCGTCATTCTGACGAGCCAAGCGCCTCTTCTGCGCAGGCGTGAACCACCGTCACTGGCGGATTCACCTCCGGAATTCATGCAGGGCATGAAGAACCCGGAAATAATGGCGCGTGACAAACTATCACATTGAGAAAAACATTAGGACTAGGAAAAGGAAAATAGGATATAAGTTCTGATTTTCAGATTCAAATATTAGTGGTTGGAGAGACCAGAGAAGGTAAATCTCAGATTTAAGAAGTGACACAGTGCATTGAAAGAGGATCTTTGGCAGAGAATTTTACTCCCATGGATTAAATTGGATTTACTACTAGAAACCCCTGCTTGAGATCTTTTTTGTTTTGCCCATCAACATGCCCGGACAGGTCTGAAACAACTTCCACTCCTCAAGAATGTCTTTGTCTCCTGGAGAGTTTTGTTACTTCACTAGAATGTAAATGAAGTAGACCAGGTAGTTTGAATCACCCAATAAGTATGCTGCCAGTAGTCCGTATAAACCCATACTATAACAGGACCCGCCTGCTAATGTATGTTCAACCTTTATCACCAATGAATGTGTGCCAAAGACACCTCACTTGGAACACCCCTTTTTAGAATGTGTATCTTCTTTGTTCATGCCTTGGGAAGGGCCAGTCTCCCACATATGCTCACAGACTGGCCCGCTGGAGTAATTAAATTTATTGCTCTGTCTCCACAGCTTCTGGTGTACTTTCAGCTTCCCAGACTAACGAATACAAACCGTATAAACGAAATGGAGCTTGCCACTTCATATAGCCACGTCTGTCAGCAATTTCATGGAGCAGGAGAAGGATACCACGGATATCTTAACTCAGTTTTTCTCCCCAAAAGGTAAGCATTAATAATACAAATGAGTAAACTGGAGTCTATTTTATTTTTCCAGTATTTTGAGTTAGACACATGAATTGGATAATTCTTTCAGATTGCACTCCTAAGGATGAAGCATATTCATTTGATATAAACCTTTGAAACTAATGAAATCAGTTGTTTTTCTCCCATAAATCCAAAAATGGTTGGACAAGCCTAATAAAAACACTTCCCAGAGCTCCCAGGTTCCAATCACCTTTCAAAAGCCTTACTACTCAACTCATGAGAGCTTTGGGGAACGTTTTACATCCAACTTCAACATGTCCCAAGAGAAATAATGAATTCTAGGCCTGGAGTTGGAAACACAAAATGATTCTGAGAAACCTTGTGTTAACAAAACTAGTAAGGCTTTTAAATGCCTTTTAAAAACTCAAAATTATCAAGTTAAGCTGCTCCTTCTGGCTCAAGTGCTGTAAAGAATATTTACCACAGGGGATTGAAATGCATCAAAAACAAAAACTACATTTTTTTATAGTGTGTCAAAGGGAGCAGGGGTCTCATTTTGAGTTTGTGAAAATCCATTTGCTATTTCTGAAAACTGGTTGATAAAACTAATAATCAAGCACACAAGTGGCCTTTTTCATAGGTTATCTACTTCAGGAAAAGCCTATAGATTGCATGGAAAGTTTCAGTTAGTTTGTTTTATTTTTAATAAGAGAGCAACAACTCATAAATGCAGAATTAAAATTAGAAAACAAAAACTTAACAATCACTAATGAAATAATGCATCTAAGCAATGGTCATCATTAGTAACAAAAACCATTGTGTACCAATTTGGTGAGGAATTTTATATATTTTATAATTTCATATTGTATATGACATATTTTATAATCTCTGGATAGAGTTGACAACATTTTAACTCTAGTCAGTGGGAGAGTTAGACATTTTGTTTCTTTCACTGTGAGTTAGTGGGTTACACACAATATCTTTTATGGGTTATTCTTGAAAGAAAGAGACTATTCAAATTTCTAAATCACAAGGATAGTTAACAAGAAATGTGCTACCTAGGTGAATATATTAAATGGTTCAATAAGGTAACAATCATCCACATCCGGCACTTGGAAAAAATACATGATAAGTAACCTCATATGTTCCATGGCAAACAGATAGCATAAAGGAGGAGGCATATACACAATTACAATCTCAAAATTTAAACATGAAAAGTGTATTGAAAAGAATATATAAATCATTTAAGCATATCATTGTGTTCTAAAGTCCTTCATTAACACGACTGTAGGCACAATCATTGTAAAACCTTCAGAAGCTAAGGGTACCTCTTATACCTTTTCATTATGTATGTACAAAATTGTTACTGAAACAAAAAGAATCCTTGACTTCTGTGGAAGCAGATTATTATACAAATGAGCGTGGAGGTTAATGGTTATAGAAGTTATTGTAGATGATGTCAGGGTTGAAATTGGGTCTTTTGTAAAACATTGCTCAGCCTCAGTTTCCTTATCCTTAAAGGGCAAGTATGCTTCATTTAAAACTTGTGGTTGACAAGACGGATGAATGAAATGATTTTTTTTAAAAAACATTTACAAGTTGAAACAATCTTTATATTAAAAAAAACAATAGTTGAGATATATGTGAAATATTCACAAGTGAATGGAATAAAAAATAGGTCTATCTCAGGCAGTTAGAGGAGGGAGTCACACTGAGAGATGGAAAGTTTATGTAAATTTTCTGGGAAGGTCAGTTACAGAGCTTCTTTCAGAGTAGTTACCCAAAGGACTTTGAAGCATCTTCCCAGAATCTGGTAGTTCTCCTGGCGGGCAGTTCCCCCCTCCCCAGTGCTCATTACAGAAATGAATGACTAGGAACCATGCTGCTAATGTATGTCAGAATTTCCTTTGGGTTGTGTGGGCTCTAAACTGAGATTCTTGCTAAGGTTAGAACCAAATGACTCTTCGGATGTTCAGGAGATGGGGTGAAGGACAAGCTACAGTGTCTTACAAGCTTTCATAGTTTTCCTCCTTTCAGTCAAATTCAGTTTCCGTTTTTTCTTAATATGACTATGTCCTAAATGGGGCTAAGGTATTTTAAATAAAAATCTTGAAAAATCCTGATTTCTGAAGCTAGCAGAAACATTCATTATGGACATCTATTTAAAGTGTTTTATAATGAAGGAGGAGATATTACATTTTTGAATCTTATAAAATGATATAATTTGAAAACTAAAATGTTTTTGCAGTAGAGAAAAATCTACTTTTAAACATGCGTCCGTTTCTACATTAAGGGAGAAAGTTCTTTTTTCCTTTGTTTTTGAGAGTTGAACATTTCAGTGCATCCACTGATAATCGCTACAGTCTGTTATTTCCTGAGTAGAGGAAGAACCACGAGGCAGTTTGAGTCATAGTTCCCTAAAACGCATGCATAAATCCAGCGACTCAGTTCGGTCTTTGCCGCTGCTTCAGTAGAGGACGTCGGCGACCGGCTGCCTCGCCTGATTGCTTCGTTCTCTTCGGCAGCAGGAGGATTAGACACATGCGCACGATTGGTCTCTTTGTGTGCACCAGGAAGGGCTTGGCGTCGATTTACACTTCCTAACGGGGCAAAGACCTGGAACGACCGTTTGTGCCTAGGAATAAAAATGCATTTTAAACACAGCTACTGAAATAAACAATTGCCTTTCTCCCGCTTGCCTCCCACATTGCAAGTCGCCCCGCCGCCCCTGCCCCGGTGTGCAGCTCCGGAAGGGAGACTAACAGCCCCAGACTGTGGAGCCCTGTCTTTAGGAATCCCGCACTCGGAGGAGCGTTGCGGGCAAAGGGAGCGGATGGGAGCGGTGCCCGGGTCTCGGGGTGGCGCGTGGAGCCCCCCGCCCGAGCCCGAGTGATGGAGCAGGTCTCGCCAGCCTCCTCCAGCCCTGCCACCCT